AAAAATTTAAAGACAACACAGTAACATATAGGATCCAGACTCTGTGTATTTTCCATTTTTACGTGGCCTATTTCTTTTATATTACTTTACTCCCTTTTTAAGGACTTTACAATTATTTTAAAACTATATATTTCTTTTTCTTTTTTCTTTTCAAGACGGGGTTTCTCTGCGTAACAGCCCTAGCTGACCTGGGAACTAGCTCTGTAGACCAGGTTGGCTTCAAACTCACAGAGATCCTCCTGCCTCTGCTCCCGAGTGCTGGGATTAAAGGTGTGAGCCACCACCTACCATACCTTCTCTTCTCTCTCCCAAGCCTACATATATTTTAAAACACGCTGTAACGCGTTCAGAGTTTATTTTCCTCGTCTGAATCTGTCTATACTGTGTCTCTGTCTTTTTCCTGACGGCAGGAGCACTTTTCTGTATGTGGCCAGTATGAGAGAATGCGGGAACGCCATGTAGCTCATGCCACGGTGCACTGGCAGTTCAAGTCCACAGGCAGCAGCCAGGAGAAATGTCCCCGTGCTGCGGCCAGCATGAGAGACGTGAGACTAGAAAGTTGCTCTTGGCTCTGTTTTAGAAACCTTTTTCAACGCTTTCTCGGGTTTTATGTAGAATTTTTTGTTTATTTGTTTGTTTTTGCTTTTTTGAGACAAGGTTTCTGCGTAGCTTTGGAGCCTGTCCTAGAACTCACTCTGTAGAATAGGCTGGCTTCAAACTCACAGAGATCTGCCTGTCTCTGCCTCCCGACTGACTGCTGAGATTAAAGGCGTGCACTACCACTGCCCATTTATGTGGAAATCCTTGCCTACCTAACATTTGGGTGCCATTTGTAGACAGAAGTTTCTATCCCATCAGCAGCTCCCAAATAAACACACTGAAGCTTATATTAATTATAAATGCTCGGCTGATAGCTCAGGCTTACTAGTAACTAGTTCTTACAATTTAAATTAACCCACTTCTATTAATCTATTGCCATGTGGTTTGTTACCTCGTTTTCTATATGTCTGGCCTCCTAGGTGGCTGGCTGGTGTCTCCTCTGGCTCCGCCCTTTTTCCTCCCAGCATTCTTAGTTTGGTTGTCCTGCCTATACTTCCTGCCTGGCTACCGGCCAGTCAGTTCTTTATTAACCAATGAGACTGATATATATTCACAGTGGACAGAATTATTCCACAGCGACCTCAGTTGTTTGGGTCCACACTACATGTACCCTGGCTCCTCATATCTTGGTTGTAATGGAACCACTCCCCAAAGTGGCTGAGCCCTTTGAGAAAAGTTAAATAGCCACTAAGCCATTCTAAATAAATGCTGACCGGATGTTCCTGCCCTAGAATAACACTCCATGTATCAAATGCACAAGCTCAGTCTCTGATTCCCAATTGTGACCTGTGAACTGAGGGTGGAAAAGTCACTGGTCTGATGACCCAAGGAGTGCCACTTGTCCTCCTGAGGAGTCACAATGAACAGCCAGGATGTCTTCTAAGAAGGCCACAATGACCCTCTTGGCTGTGTCTCCAGCCAGTGTCTGCACACTGCCTATGTGCGTCAGGGCCACTCTGACCATCTGGTCTCTCTCCTGCGGGGTGTGGACTGCACCAGGATCATCTCCCTCTGCTCCTGACTTTAAGAACTGCAGGATGTAGGACTGGATCATATCCCCATTCAGCTCAAGAGATTCTAGAATGCAGGGGAGGTCGGAGGCACTGGCTAGATGCAAGAGGTGAAGCAGCGCCTGGCAGATGTGGGTCCGCAGGCTGGCACAGTACTTGAATTCCAGAAAGTCTGTGGTGTCCTCACTCTTCTGCAAGGCAGTGACCAATGCATTCCAGATCTGAGCAAACTGTTCTAGGGACCCGTACTGCACTCTCTTGCCTGGGATGGAAAGGGCTGCAGCAGATCGGATGCGCACTTTGAAGTTCTTGCATGACATCACAACCGATGTCAGGGCTTTGTAGGCCTGGGAGGTCCATGCGGCTGACCCTAGGAAGAACTCACAGTCACTGAAACTAGTAAAGGCTTAGAGTTAGACAGGGTGAGCAGGAGAGGGGTGGGGAAGCATGCATTTTGTGTTCACTCTCATCATGGCCCCACTGGCTCGTATATCCTTAGTCATCAGGGAGTAGCCCTGTTTGAGAGGATTAGGAGGGTGGCCTTGTCGGACAAAGTATGTCACTTGGGGTGGGCTTTGAGATTCCCAGAGCCCATGTCAGGCCCAGCCTCTCTCTCTGCTTGGGGATCAGGATGTAGCTCTGTTACTGCTCCAGCGCCACGGGTGCCACCATGATCCCGCCATGAGGACAAGGGACTAAACCTCTGAACTAAGCCAGCCCCCGACTAAATGTTTTTCTTTATAAAAGTTGTGGTGGCATCATGTCTCCTCACAGCAATAGAACAGAGACCAAGGCTCCTCATAGGGGCAGGGCAGCGAAAGTCAACCTGTGGGATCCCAGAGAAGGGATCAAATCTGATCTCTGGTCTCCTGCTTTCCCTAGACAAGCCTGAAGCATGATCAAAGGGATTTTGATCTGTCCAAAGGGGCAAAGCTTGGTGGGAAACACATGGGTGGAACTGCACCCAAACTGCTCCTGGCCGTGCACACTGTATGAAACAGCCCTCTTGCTGCTAGCAAAAGGAGTATTCCCTCCACAGATAGCACCAGGCACTGACTCGCTGCAGCACACTGTGCATTTATTGTTAAGACATAAGAACACTTCTAATAACAAGAATATGAAGCTTGCATGGTCTTTTCCCCATTTCTGTGTCCCCCAGCCCCCCTCCCCCAATAGCATGCTTTCCACCCCCTCAGAGGTGCTGCTAGACACTCTGGCTTGACTATCTCACTCCTCAAGACGGATGGCAGTTCTCTCAGTCTATCCCCTTCTTTGCTGCCCACCTCCCAAAAAAACAGACTCTCTCCATTCCATGAATGCCAGTGCCACCCACAAGGGCCTCAAAACTCGGTATCCCGTCTGTTCCTGCTCCATTCTTACATGCATCCTCATAGCTCTGCAGCCCCCAGACAACTTCTCCACTGTCTCCCAGGCTCTGCTCTGCCTGGACAGCCCCTCACATGGAGCCTACTCTGCTGGCCCTCGTGATTGTCCCTTAGCTCTCCAGTCCTATCAGAGGCAGAGGTGTAGGGACAGTGCTGGCATCCCCAGTGGCTAGGGTCTGTGCACAGAAGAAACTATTAGCCCACGATGATTGGGCAAGCAAGGCTCATGGTATTCGGGACAGTATGCAGGGGAAAGAAGCCCTGAGCTTCTAGTTCTGACCCCAGAACTTGTGAGATTTGAGCCTGTGCTCTCGGTGCCAGCGGAGAACTGTAGATTTGGACAGTTTCCTTCCCATCTTTTCTCCTAAGTACTTAATGAGAGGACACTGTAGAAACGAGTTAACATCCTGCTTTAGTTTGTTTAACATATGAAGAAGTATTTTCTCAGATTATAAAAAAGACCTTTGTAAATATACTTTAAAATGGCAATAAAACACCTCATCAAACACACACACCCAATGGCGTATTCCATCATTCCACTAAACCTGATCCCTGTCGTTTTCTAATCCTGTGACAAAAACCATCGTTGTTAACAACAGCAAAGATGGTGCATGCTTTCTGAAGAATTCTGGACAGGCTGAGAGAGGGAAAACATCTTACCGAGTGGCAGAGCAGGGTTTTTAAAAACATTTCCCATTGCGTAGCAAGCATTCCATCGGACTTTCATGGCAGCCTCGTTTACAACGGTAGAAATCAGAGCCTGGATGGACTCCTCGATGATTTCAGCAAACCTGGGTCTCTCTACGTGACACGGTTGGAGAAAATGAAGCAAATTCCCAAGGGCCCGGACTGCATTGCTTTTGACCTAGAACAAAACATAAAAGGCCTCAGAGTTATTTTGCTGGAGATGTTTCAGACAATATAAATTTGACTTTAAGAAAGACCCTCCATGTCTTAAAGCAAGAGAATAAACGAGACATGAACCCTGTGAGGGTGTGAGTCCTTGGAACTGTGCGTGCTCACCTGAGCCCATGCTTTTTAAATGGACCATGTAATAGGCACATACAAGTTTTATCTTTCTTACTTATCAATTCCATTTAAGGATTTATTCTCTGTCTTTCTTTTCAAATAACAGATAAGCATGAACACCGTGCAGTAGACCATGAGAGTACTGGTACTTTCTATGGGACAGAAGACAGTAGAATAAACTGTATGAGTCTGGCGTGGACAGCACTGTGGACAGGATGGTTTAGGACCATCAGACCACCCTGCTGGAGCAGCACAATTGCAAGTGTGCACCCTTAACGTCTTGTGTGTACCTTGTCTTTGTCCGTGGAGGCTTGTATCGCAGACTGCAACATTTTCAAGAGCAGGAGCCCAGAGAACTCATCCTGAAAACTTGGATCTGGCGTGTCCCTGTCCCACCCAAGGCACAGGCGGGGTAAGAAAAAAAATACCACTTAAATGTGTGCACACAAAGATAGTCACCAAGTGTATGAGGGTAAAAATGTCAGGAAAACAGCCTGACAGGCCTTTTCAGATTACACTGAGAACTCACACAGCTCTTTCTTTGTTTCTTTGTTTTTTGAGACAGGGACTCATTATAGGGCTTAGGCTGGCCTGGAACTTGGTATGAAACTTAGGTTGACTTCAATCTGTGATCCCCCTGCCTCAGCCTCCTGAGTGCTGGGATTATAGGTACATGCCATCACACCTAGGTTTCAACGGCAGTTCTCCATTTAAGAATGTAACCACAGGGGACATCTCAAGATGGACATTTTATGCCCGGAAATGTTCACTGCATATAAACGCCCACAAGCCTAAGTAAAACAACCATGCAAGAAGAGGATGGATCAGGATGCGTCCTGTGGTGGACTCTGTGTACCATGTGTTTATTAAACATCCAGCACAGAGAATGTCTGTGAGCTACACATGCTTCTTATACAGAACCAGGTGACAGAAAGTACAGCAGCAGCCACCCTAGGGAAGTGACGGTGCTCCAGGAAGGAGGCAGATTTTACACTACATGCCCCTTATGCTCTTCCAGTTCTTTTGACCTGTGACTCTATTCCTTAAAAAATACAAACTGCTTTCTCCAGTAGAATGCCACTGGGTATCAGCTACACCCCTGGGCAGGCTCCACGCTCAGGAGTAGCTGGTGACCCAAAACAGACTCCATGGGGTTTTGGGGGGTAATTTTTGTCTTATTGGGTTTTTGTTTGTTTGCTTTGATCTTTGTTTCTTGTTTTTGTTTGTTTTTGAAACCAAAGAGAGAAAGCGAGAACAAGCATGAAGTTGGGTGGATAGGGAGGTAGGGAAATCTAGGAGAAGTTGTATTAAGGGAAAATATGATTAAATATTATATGTAAAATATTTAATAAACAAATAAACAAACAAAAGACCTTTGTGCCCCAAGAGCAGGGTAACTGTTACTAAGGTTTCAGACTTCTAATGTGATATTTTCTACAATGTGGGTATACGCTTATGTTAGCAAATGGTATTTCTAAATATATATATACTGATATAGAATCATATGTATCTGAACACACAGTAAGAACCAACTAGATTTATTGCTTAAAGGAATATTAAAGTAGTAAAGCTGCTGGTATGATATGGGGGAACTCTTGCTAATTCTTTCACAGTACGGAGGAAAGACCCTTCCAGCGCTCTGAAACAGTGCCGCCCTGGGAAAGCAGGCTGAGTCACTTACATGTTGATGATGAGAGTGTCTGTCAGGTTGCCCAGGGACCAGGCTGCTTTGGCACGCACGTTTAATGACTTATCTTGAAGTGACATCAATATGGCGTTTGCTGTGTCTGCAACAAATATGACGTCCTGTACAACAGACCAGGCTGAATTACTCAGGGAGTTCATGCTGCTGCTGCTGAACTTTTCACAGAAAGCTGTGAGCCTTTATAATAGTTTGATTTAGAAACCAAATTTATCTATGGAATCGACATGAACCTGTGAGTTACCTGTGCGTTCTGTGCTTGGGTTGTCTCCACCCCCGGCAGCAATGTTCTGATAGTGAAGGCATTGCCCAAACACATTGTCTGCACTACACACCCTTCCCACGGATGAATGTCACAGAAGGAATAAAAGAAAACTTCACTGTCCTCTTAGAAAAATGGGTATTAGCTTTCTCAGTCATTACTCCCATGTGGGTAATGTCCTCTTTTTCATCTTTAGTTAATCTCTCATTAATTAAACGTTTGCTGTACACTACAGTCCCAGGCAGTGTGTCAAATAATTAACAAACGAAGCACGGGTACTGCACGTTGTAACAGCAATTAAGGAATCTGATTACACAGCAGGCTTCCTTCACCGCTCAATGCAGAAGCTATATGCCCACAAATCCGCTGGTGGTAAAGGCTCTAAGGAAACAGGGGCAAGCCAGGCTCACTCTCACCTGTCTGAGGCAAGGGAAAAGCACATAGACGCCAAGGGCCCTGGAGGTCGCAGCTTTCACTAAATGGTTCTTGCTGTCGTTCAGGCCGAGCAACATTGTAATACACAAAATCTGCTTGTCATTCTGCAGAGAAGGTTCACAAAAGAAGTCAGACGGAATCACTGCGAGCCAAAGTCTGCCACAAGCAACGGAGCGCTGTGACCCTCAGCTGACCACAGGGCAGGTGCCTGGACACCGGGGCAGCTATCTGAGGCATGATTTTGGGCAAGATACACACAGCATCTCATCACATTACATGCATGTGTAACAACTATGTAACAAGGTCATTTTTATCCTTGGCTCTTTTAGAAGGAGCCGCCTCCTTTAGAAAAGTTCATTTACATAGCTAAGAACAGATCGCCACTGAGGGATAAAGAACAGGAGTAGAATTACAGGCTTGTGTACCCCAAATCAGACATGAAATCCTCACCTAAAGTGGTGGGATTGGGAAGTGACAGGCTAAGCGAATACCCCATGTGGAGACCTTAACCTAAGTATTTTCACACACTGCCGCTTCTCACGTGACTCCCCTGTGAAGTGCATTATACAAAGTTTTAGAGAAATTCAAGGGAGTCAAAGAGCTGGGGTAGAACGGCAAGGATGCGGAGCCAAGACTTTTAGCTCGGGACACCAAGTGCTTCCTTCGGAAGTCTCATCAGAGCTGTGTCGCTCACACCCACACTGCCTTCTAGGGCAGAAGCAAGGCTTTCCTGCAGGAGTGGATGGCAATGCTCTCATGGCCAACTCAACAGAAAACAGTTCCTTTTCTAAAGAAGAGGTTGAAAGATTTCAAAACAGAATCACACTGGAGCCCTGCTGCCCAGGATATGGTCCAAGAGTGAGGACATGAGGTTAGGTTACCGGCAGACTGCTGAAGGCCTCTGGCAAGATGGAGGACAGGGCGTCACAGGCGCTTGCTTGCAGAGTTGGGTGCTCTGAACTCTGCAGGGCACGGGGCAAAGGACCATTCAACATCATAGTCCAGAACATCCCCACCTAGAACAGAGGCACAGTTAGAACCACAGCACAGCGCCCACAGGAGAACCCGCTGAAGCCATGCCCATCAGGTGTAGCCTTGGAGAGGGAACGTTTTCTGTATTAGCTTTTTACAGGTGTTTTCACTGGGCGTCTTCCACGGTGACGGAAACAACTTCCGAAATAACTAGGCAGACCCAGTAGGGCATACAGTGTAATCAAGGTGACAGCAACAGTGATGGTGTGATGGCGGTGATGATGGCGGTGATGATGAAGGTGGAAACACAGCAGAAGGAGCTGTTTCACGGAGGTTTTATCACAGGCCAGGCATTATTCTAAGTGACTGTCATACATCAACCCATTTTAATCCTCAGCACAACTAAGTGAAGTCTATACCACTACCACAATTTCTACCAAGAAAACAGGCACAAAATACATTGTGATACGCTAGTCAGCAGCAAGGTCACTGAGAATCCGGATGCGCCGCCATCTTGCTGGGTTCTTTAATGTGGCCCTGTTTGGGCATAGAAGGCTGTGCACACCAGACAACAGGATCAGGGGGAGAGCTGGAGCTGTTTCCTATCCCTTCCTGTCTGTAGCACTGCCTGGTGACTTGATCTGTGTGAGCTTTAGCGCCTCTTCAACCACACGGGCAAAGACATCTACCTTGAAGTCTACAGTAAGACGTGACACTGTGCTGAGGTCCTGGCACCAGGACAGGATAGCTCTCAACTTGAGAAGCAGGCTCTGCTGTAGGTACTTTGAAGACTCATCCCTAAGCCCTCAGGAGGGTATCAAGTTGACATGGCCCAGCCATTCCAATTCCTGACCAGCAGAGACTGCAGAGAACAAATGTTCATTGTCTAAAGATGCTACGCACTTAGGGCTACTCTTGTGCTTGACTAATGCCAGGTAATACAGAAAGTCTGTCTTCTCTCTAGGGGAGGCAATAATAAAGCTGTGAGCAGTTAAGAGGCTTGCCCATGGAGATGGGAAAGAAGGTTAATATCACTGGCTGCTCTTCCAGAGGTCTTGAGTTCAATTCCCAGCAACCATATGGTGGCTCACAACCATCTGTAATGGGATCTGATGCCCTCTTCTGGCCTGCAGGCATAAATGTAGATACAGTACTCATATACATAAAATAAATCCAAAAAACTTATTAAAAAGAGAAAAAAAAAGGCATGTTCACAGCAACTTGTCTAGCAAGTAGAGAAATCTGGATTCCCATCCAAGTTCTATCTGATGTCCAAACTCACTCCATCTCCTTGCAAGTGGTCCCATGAAAGCTCGAGTTGCTGTCTTGGAAAGGAGTTTGGGTATTTAATTCATGGCAAAGATGATGGACATGTAAACAGCAAAGAGAAGGCAGACGAGGAGGTCACGGGGAAAAAGCTTCGCCAACACTGAGTTCATTTGGGTTTTGGCACCAAGTAGAGAACATTTTGGCGGGATTCTATTTCTCATTCAGAGAAGTGACAGTGTAGGGGCGGCAGACGCAGTCTGAGCATAGGTCTTCCTTTATAAACTCTCTCTATACACATACATGGGAAGGACACACCTGGCTGCCATCTTTTTAAACTCTCTCTATACACATACATGGGAAGGACAAACCTGGCTGCCATCTTTAGGAACACTGGTCACCTCCTTTGAGATAGTTCTTATTGGCTTTCAGTGTCCCATCCTTTTTAAACTCTCTCTATACACATACATGGGAAGGACAAACCTGGCTGCCATCTTTAGGAACACTGGTCACCTCCTTTGAGATAGTTTCTTATTGGCTTGCAGTGTCCCAGTTAGGTGACACTGTCTAGCCTGTGAGCCCCAGGGATTCTCTTAGCCCTCCTTCCTAGCACCGGGATGAGGACCTGCCACCATACCCAGCAACTTTTTTGACATGGGTTCTGGGGATTGAACAAGCCCTTTACCAATGAGTGCTCGCTCTCCCTACTTCCCTTTTGTTCAACTTTTAGTAGGAACCATACAGCGAGAAGTGAGCAGATTAAAGAAATTCTATTCACTGGGCAAGAGCATCTTCCCATTTTAAGCCTCTTTAGAAAGAATCGGTTTGTGAATTAAGGATTATTACTCCTGTTCACAGTAGCAACCTAAGTTCATGAACACAGGCCTGGTTCCCTGCCTTTCCCCACAATCCTAGTTTGTCTCTTGAGCAGGCAGAATAACCAAATTAAGCTTTCTGCAAGCAAACACCGCATTTATCATTACTGGTTGGTTGTATAAATAACCGTGCTACATACTGAACTGCACCCTTGTCTGGTAGCTTCATGTTATGCTAGATTACACATTGGGTTCCTTTTAAAGAAACATTAGCGTGCACATGTATACTGAAGTACACTTCACAACAGCCAAGATATGGAAACAACCTAAGTGTCCATCAACTGGTAAGATAAAGAAAACGTGGTATAATATATATATATTTTGTGGACACATCTGTCAAGGTGCACATGTGGATATGAGAAGAAAACCTTGCAGAATTGGTTCTTTATGTGGGTTCTAGGGCTCACACTCAGATTGTCGGGTTTGCATCCTTGGGCGGCAGGCACCATGGTTTTTGGCACTGGAAGAAATGATATCATCTGTTCCACTTTATTACTGAGCCTCAAACTAAAAAGCGCACTAGAGCATGCGGAGAGAATACTGGGAACGGAGGTGTGCTTACCACACTGATGGGCACTCTCTGCTCAGGAGCTGTGCTGGAATCGGGCTTGTACTGCTGTATCAAGCCTGTACCCAGTTCTTCTAGAAGCTGCCAAGACACAAGAAATGAGCTGTCACTGTGGAGGTCATGAATACCATGCCTTCAGTTTGGAGAAACCTCAAATCAACACGAAAATTTGTTTCTTTTTCCTTCTCTCTCTTTTTTTGTTTGTTTGGTTTTTTGAGACAGGGCCTCATTATGTAGCCCTGGCTGGTCTCAAACTTAGAGATCCCCCTGCCTCTGCTTCCCTCATGCTGGGACTAAAGGTGTGAAAAGAACTTGGAAAAGGTAATTTCTAACTGGCTTTTCTCAGCAACCACGGCAGAGGTATTCTTTGAAGGAGTAAAAACCAACACCGACGGTGTTAGCTGTCCCTGAACATAAGAACCAGGATAGGAATAGATTCCCTCCTTGCCTGAAACCCGAGAAACCACAGAAGATGTGTCCCTTGTGATGTAATTACCTTCACGCCATGGAGCTGAATGGACGGGTTTGCTTCACCCATGCACTTACAGATCACCTCGCCAAGCTCCATCAGGTACAGCTGAGCCATTGAAAAATAGCCCTTTGCCAGGTGAGCCAAAACCTACACAGAGAACAGGCAATTAGCCCATCTGAAAGCAGGTAAGGCTGCAGAATCCAGAAGGGCTTCAACATTTTGGCAGCCACTCACACCTAACATGGACCTTAAGTCTGGCACTGAAGACATGAGAAGCAGCCATAATCTAGCTATGGCTGGCATCAGTTTGCAAAGTCTTACTCAAGCCTCAGGGCAATCCTTTGATGTAGATTTTTATGGAATTTAGAGCTGAAAGGACAAAGGCTGAGGGTAAAGGGTCCTCAGTGTCCTCAGACAACCAGCAGAACTTGAGCTGTCACTAAAACCCAAGTGGCTAGGCATGCCTGTGAGGGATTTTTTTTTCTTAATTAAATCATTTGAAGTGGGAGACCCATTTTAAATCTGGATCTTTTGCGGAAAAACCACTTTTAATCTGGGCCATGTTGTAGGAGGCTGTTTGCTCCCGGCTGCTCAGACTCCCGAAATAATCAGACAGAAACCATATTATTTGCAAAACTGTTTGGCTAATAACTTAAGTATATTTCTGGCTAACTCATAACTTAAATTAACCCAGCTCCATTAATCTGTGTATTGCCACAAGGCTGTGGCTTACTGGGTAAAGTACTGGTGTCTATCTCCAGTGGGGCTACATGGCTTCTCCTGACTCTGTCTTCTTTCCCAGCATTCAGTTTAGTTTTCCCCACCTAGCTCCACTCTGCTCTTTCAGGCCAAGCCAGCTTCTTTATTAACCAATGGCATTCACAGCATACAGGAGAATCCCACATCAGGGCTACACCTTCTGCTCTCAGTCTATATAAAGGACATGGAAGAAGGAAGCTTTTGCTCTTTGCCCGCTTGCTCTCACTTTTACTAGCAGGTCCATTCCTCCACCAGAATTAGAGCCTACTTTTTTGGGATTCTGGTTTATGCTGAAGACCAGTTCAGACATCCATCCTTATGGACTGAACAACCACTGGGATCTTGGATCTTCTGTTGGTAGACAGCCATTTTTGGGTTAGCTGGACCACAGTCTGTAAGCCATT